TAATAATCAGTTACTTCAATATTTTAATCACAGTTTTGTAACTATTGTTGAAAAGAAACTTCGAAAGGGAACAAATCTATTTTGCTTTCGTATAAACAACTCTTCCTAGCTTACAATCGTCGCTAATAACCATGACATCCTAAAAAGGTAATGACCAATTCTCTTCTATTTTCACTGTGAACCTTATGATTCCTTAATGCTGGTTAAAAGAAAGTACCAATCATATAATTTTTCTTTGCTTCATGCCAGATGACAATCTAGTAATCGATATTTTTTACAAACAATGCCAAGGTTAGTATCGCCTCTAATATTATGTTTTTCTTAAATTTGGCCCTGTAGTTATTCGCTAAAATGAAAGCTAAGTAAGATCCCATTGCAAGTACTCGTGTCCGTACATAAATATTTACTGTCAAAGGTAGCATACGTACCACTCATAAATAGGCTAAGAAGTCTTAGGATGGAGTCTATACTTATTCCTTGTTTTTGTGTAATCTATAAATACTCCTTCAGAATGCGTACTCAAGCCTAAATGGCTTCTGTAAGAGCAATATTAGTGTATATAGGCACGATATAAAAACTTGCTCACTTATTCTCTTCTGAAGTAATATGAATACCAAGCAATTTTGTAGACTATGAAGAATTTTTAACTGAATATAGCCAAAAAAGGCAGCTTTTCTTAAATTTGTTCATCTTCCGTGTACACTTTAATACATTTGAAAGTCGTGGTGTCCCTAGTATCTCTCTGGAATAGTTAATTGATATTCCACTTCTTTATTTTGACATTTCATGCATATCCATAAGCACATCAGTCAGCCTAGTATTAAGTACCTTAGTTTAATCTTTTAATCAAACTTTGTACGCATCAGTATCATTTAAATAAATTTGCATTTTAATAAATTACTTAATATATCCGTTATTTCACTGCTGCGCCTATATCGGCTTTCATACAATTAGATTAATGCAACATAAATATCTAGAAACCCAAACTAGTACAAAAGATTTCAATGGCGTTGAAATCTGGTCAAAACAAAGAATCATCTCCTACTCAATACTATTCTTTATTTTCTCAATTTCCTTCAAAAATAGACCTAATTTTTTTGATCAAAGCATTTATAATTTAAAAAGGATTCAATCAGAATTAATTAAATGCCGAATTCTAAATAGTTTAGCATAACTCTAAGCTGTAAATGCTTGTGGAACTTGAGCATACTATGTGATCATTTTTGGTAGTTATGAGAAGAGAGGCTCTACCAGAGCCTACTAATTCAAAGAGTAATTACAAAACTATCGGGCTGTGTTGACTAGCAGTTTCTAGTTGGTGTATCTCGATATTATCAATACAGAGCAAGATACAATTATGATACCTCATTATTAGGACATTTAAAATTAACCTTATTTGTTTTGGATGTGTAAGAAAGCCCAATTAAATTCAAATTAACAAAAGCCAAGATGAAATAACTATCAGTAAACAACTTTTTCTAAATTGACGTTCAGCCTTTATATGTATCACGCATAAGCTAAAATTTGTCGCAAACAATTCAAGTATGCGTTTCTAATTAATGTCCCTTAATAAAGCATATTTACTTGAGAAACTTTCCCTATTTGATATTAGATAGGTTAAGGACCAAATTTATTCAGTTATTTCTATTTCATGCTATATCTAAGAATTTTAGATGATAAAATTTTGAATAAATAGACAAATAACGATCAAATATTGTCGCTCGCGGTATGGTCACAGTCTTCTTTCTAAGTATAGACGCGTCTGAAATGGTTTTCGTAACTTGGTATTTTTGTCAAGAAAGACTTAATTGAACGCACATTGCCCGATGTTTTTTATCATATTAGTTAAAATAATTCCCATCATCAGACCGTACATGCAGAGACGTTTCGCCGGCATCGTAGTAGGCATCATCAGTGAATGTTGCCATTCACCACACCATGCTACGAACTCGTCAAAGAGAGAAGTGAAGTCAATTCCTAGACCAACCTTCTGCCGAAAACGGAAACACTATCGCTCCTCTTTCTGTCCTAGCCCATCTATTAACTCTTTACACTATTATCCAACTTATGCCTTATTACAACTTCCCACTTGTGCGCATTCCACTTGTCAAAATTGTGTGCCGTCTGTTGGAAAATTTAGTGTGGTTTCATCACACTTGATGTTCATCCTGGCTAATCCGACACGGGCTCCTATTCGAATCTCCCTCATGGTTCCGTCGATCCGTTTCTTATATTTCTGGTTGACCGATTTCACTCGGTTCCAGTTCCATTGTGCGTTTTACTCCAGGCGCTATTTCTCAACGCCCTAGAAGCACGTACACTGCCGACCAACCGAGCAGAGCGCCTAGGCTTTGGTTTTCATGCTTACACATATTGACATTGCCTTTACGCCTCATCTTCTTGATTAAACCCGTATAACCTAAGCAAACTGTAGACGCCTATCTCTGATAACAGGCGGTATCTAAAGTGGATTTCCAGTACATTTTGGCCATAACGACGAATTTCTCCGATGGTTTGCTTATCCGTCCGCCTAGCTCCATAAATCCCAGGCCCCCAAAGCTGTACTGGTTTATTCGAGCAGACATCACTTACTCACAGCATCTTCGCTTTATTGCCACAAATACTTGCACCCCTTCTAATCTCATCGCGATCTCTTTTCCTCCGGTTAGTGATAGATCCCTGATCGAGGCGTCTCCTCTTTGCTGGTCTTGCTGTATTCTTGTTTTCCCCGAGTATCTCTAACTCTACCTTCCTACAATTAGAGTTTTATTTGCTTATTAGATATATTTCATCGTTAGTGAGTAGGTTTTCATGCATAACTGGGATCAGGTGTTTTGTTAGGAAAATAAAAATTCCGATTTGAGATAATTTATCTTTTTTGGACCATATGCAATATTTCTTAATCATACTTGCCACAAATACTGCCTTTTTTGGTAAGGCAAATATTTGAGGAAATAATAAAAACAAATTCGAGTATTGTGGCATTTTGAAAATTTAGAAGTAATCAAAAATAGTTAGATTTATATAGCCTATAGCACCTCCAAAATCTACGTTATCTAAAATTCTGTTCAAAATTTATTGTATGTAAGTAGAGTTTCGAGACTACCAGTAAATCAGATATATGAGTTGTGCTTATCCTATTTCGCTTAAGGCGATCAAGGACTCGTAGTTTAATTCTCCCACAATGATGTAAGTAGAGCTGATGCTTCTATTGAATTTCACATAGCCTTGCTTCTCCAAAAGGGGCTCTCATCCAGAGTGAGAGCAGTTTCGACTTTGCCTAGGTCTTATCAATACCCTCTGAGGGACTCGAACTATGAGAGTGCAGCGTGTAATCTCGACACGTTAACCACTATGCCACATTTTACAAATGCCCTTGGATCACAGGACAGATGTGCAATTCAAAGAATGTTAGACATTTTTCCACATCACATTTTGTGGTAAGATTTTTAATGAAGCAAACTTATATTTGTTATAGCAATCGAAAGCATCACCTTTTCTTTAGTGAATAGGTTT